TTCCTTGTTTCAATACATTTTGTTTACGTACATTTTGTGTTGTATTATTATTATTCCATGCTTATCCAAGCTTCAACAATATATGACCTACTCACTTTCATTTATTAGACATTGAATTGTATCACTTCATATCCATGAACTTTTCTGACTTTTTTTATTAACCTCATGAATATTAATGTGCACTCCTTTACTTACAATGTTTGAAAAAAAAAGAAGCATTTTTACTTTTGTATATAAATAAAATCATTCCATTTACCTTGATAAAAGTCACATAGATGACGAAACGCTTCCGCTAAGATGTGTTCCTTTTTTCTTTATTCATGAAACATATTTTTAGATCCAGAGAGTGGCACCAATATCTTACTCTATATTATAGAGAACATTTTCTTTGAAGGAACCTGGAAAGATACTTAGAAATCTGAGAATATTTCTGGCACTCAGTTTTCAGTGATCACGATCAGAAAACTGTCGCTAACATGCCAATGCCCAAAATGCAATAATATTCATAATAATTATTATGAAGCATATATAAACAAACCAGAATCTGTCAAGAATAAGTATGATCTAATCCTCGTGTATTTTGAGATTCAAATAAATCACACAAGCTTATATACGCGATCCGTTTTAGAATTTTTCAAGAGAAACATTTAATAATTTCAAAGAATTACAATTTCCTTCAAATTACGATACTCTGATTTCAAGCCCTTGTTATATCGCTCCAGCGACTTCTGGAAGAGCCCATGGGATTCATCGAAATTGACGTTGTCTAGGACACTTGTCACTGCTTCCTTTATCTTTTAATCTCTTCAAAATGATCCCCTCTGAGGTTCTACTTCAGCTTGGGGAACAACCAAAAGTCACAGGTAGAAATGTCTGGAGTGTAGGCAGGGTGAAGAATAATTTTGATGCCTATCTCTGTCAACACAATGTTTTCTTTCATTGCGAGCTTTCAAAATGTTTTCACGTCTTGACTGCATTCTATAAACTAGTCAACTGTGACAAGCAGTGTTAAGTCTCCATCATTCAGCAAAAACAAAATTCGACTGGTCAGCTTATTAGATGTACTCTAATGATATACTAAAATTACAACAATCTAGGATAGTTATGATTGCCTCTTCTGGAAAAAATTCTCCAAACTTCTGAAATGGAGTTATTTTGCACAGTGAGCAGATCAAAAAGTAGTCATGAATGGAAATTTAAATATTTTACAACGGTGGGGTAATGGATAGCGGTTCGGATTGAGGAATCGTAAAGTCGAGTTCGAATTCCAGTCAAATCCATTACATTCCCTTATGTGCTAATACCCTTGGGAAAGGTATTAATCCTCTTCTTCTCCTCCTCACAACTATCTGGGCCCTGTCACTGGACCTAACACCTTTATCCACTGTATCATGTCTGTGTGTGGACAGGACCCAAAGAGTCTGAGTTCAATACCCGGTTAAGGCAGTGGAGAACTTGGAGTGGGGAATTAACAGAAGATAACTGATAACTGACATTCATTAAACATGGAACGTAGAACTAGAACAGTCTAGCCCAGTGTTATGGTCCGATTCCTTGTACCACTGTGATAGTCCAAGGTAGAACCAATAAAGAAGAACTCGAACACGGGTATGGAATAACACAGATATATTACAAACAGGAATATATACAGAGAAGTAGAAAGTGTTAGTACGAACAATCAGGTTTAGTAGTAATTGTCTGAACGCGACTCTGTTTCGGACTGCCTCTGACTCGACTGACTCGCTCGCTCTGACTGACTGACAGACTTCTGACGGACCTCACTCCAGACTTCAGACTGAACACCTTGCTTCCTCTTGAGGCTCAGTATTTATTACGTATGGAATAGTCCATTATGTTATTATGGGTAAGGTCCCATAACACCCAGTGAGCGAAATAAAGGGTACAGTTCGACATCCAACCACCTGAAGGAGGCCGGAGCGTACAACGGCCAAAAAACGTTGTAATAAATATGGCGACAAAGATGAGGACAATAGTCCGAATAATGTAAATAGTATACATAATACCTCATCTCAGAAATATAGACAAATACTGAAGAACGTTTTCCATGACACTTTTGCAGTTAACTGCGAAATCTGGTCCATTGCCGGCATACATCTTTCTGTCGATGTCTTCATTCTAACCCTGACAGGCCAGTCCACCTGGTGCTATACTTTGCTGAAGAGCAACGTGAGTCATGGTCGTTAAGGTTTGGAATTACATGCTGTCCCTCACCTACTCTGGTAGTTAACTGTTTTTTATCCATAGCTGTGCGGAGGGAGAAGTGATGAATTCATATCTTTTCCAAGATAATTTGTACGTATGAGAATGTCTCACTTAAAAAAAGAAATAACGCTACGAACTTCTGTTCCAAACCAATCAATTCGATTTTGTTCCCTACTAGTGAATTTGACTGAGAGCGAAGTACTCTAAAACTTATTGTCGATGTTAGTTTACTAAGGGAATAAGGAAAGGTGAAAAAAAAGCAACGGATTAATAAAGGGTGTTCCAATAACATCCACCTCTTTTTTAATGTGAATTAAATTTAAGCGTCTAATGTTTTTTACTTTTTCTTTCACATTTAACAACTTAAGTCTTTGACAATTTCAAACATGGAAAGATTAACAATCAAACAACTTGTTAAAGTTATCGAAACCTGTTACGAAAATGGACGTTCAAACAGAAATTGAATGAGAATTTCCCAGGTCGCATCATCTCTCGAAACAGCGAAGTCAAGTGGCCACCACGATCTTGCGACTTGACGCCTTTAGATTTCTTTCTTTGGGGTCATCTCAAAATTAAGATCTATTTCAGCAAGCCAACAACAATTCAACAGCTGAAGGATGATATAATAAGGCATATTGGTGAGATCGAGGAGCAACTATGCAGAGACGTCATCAAAAATTTAGACCATTGAGTGGGTGTGTGCCGCCGAAGCCTTGGCGGACATTTGGGCAATATTATCTTTCACACATAATTGCCATGACTTAAATAACATGATCCAATAGAGAAATAAATAAATCTTCACCAATAACACTGATTTAGTTACTGCTGACTTTGATCCGTCTTAATGAAACACTTATATTTAATAATCTCCTTTAAACAATATCTTCAGCTGTCGAAGAGCAGTATGACATCATCTGACGTAATCACCTGTATCTCCTTTGAATTATCACGAGTGTAAATTGCACACACCGTCACCGTCAGCCATCTCAATCTGCCTTGATCTAGACGTTGCATATCTTCAAGAATTACCAAAATACGGCGGTTGGCTACTAAGTGGCTACACGTATTACGCCATGTCCTTTATCATCCACAACGAAGTACTGTGTATGATAATCAACTACATCCACCATCAAGACCTCGGAGGCTTCCAGGAGCGTGGAACCATCTATTAATTGATGTTAGCCGAGGTGGTAGTACCTATTAGGGTCCCAGCTATAAGAAAATACTTAACCCTAAACTGGAGTGAAAACACTGAAATTATAAAAACACATTTTTCTAGTAAAAATACCAGTAATACATTTTCATAGTAAAAAGTTACCAGCAATACAACCCCGCAAAAAAAAAAAAGTATTACCAGCAATATGTTTTTTGTAAAAGAAATTGCTAATGCTCCCCAGAAAATTAAATTTCAGCATTAAATGACCCATAAGGAGTTGATATGCCGATAAGCAAACATTGAAAAGTGAAATCACCAGTTGTTGTATAGGAATAAAGTATCGCTGCCGACACTTGAGTTTGAACATAGATCGCCAGTGAGCAAACACAGGCGATCCCATTATAGAATTAAGTAGACCACGTGACCATAGAGGAAACGCATATATAGGAGGTAGCATGTGTCCAACTGATCTGTATTTCTATTCTATCCTCTATTCTATACGGACCGCTATTCTCTACTCTGTTCACTATATGGTGATTACTATTCGAACTAGTATTATCGAGAAAGTACTATTAGCGCGAGATTATTCTAAGGCGCCTGACACCAGTATTGTTCAACGGCGTTACTGTAGTTTTCAATTACAAAGTCTCTACTACAACGAGAATTTCGAAAGTGACAACGAGCATTCATTGGCATCACAAAAGTGGCAACCAGTGTTCATTGCCAAAACAAAAACAGTAATGTATTTTATCTGTAGTTGTAGGCATACAATTGCTTTGAAAATATATATAGTTGAAAAAAAATTCTGTTCAAATTTAGATTTCGGCATTAAATGAACCATAGGGGTTTATATGGCGCTAAACTAAAACAGACAACGATCAAAATCGTCCACAAGGGGTTGCTAGTTGCTTTTTGGGTTTTCTGCTTTAGAATCAGTTGTCTATGACTGAGACATAAGGTTAAAAAGAGCCCATTCAGCTTTTCATTTTTTTTTTTACCCGTTCCTGCGAATGAAGGTGTAGTCTCGTGCCTTTTACAAGATTATTAGTTCGAGTTAAGCGCAAACCCAGGCTCGCCGTTGAGTGTTATACAACTTTCACATTTGTGATATGAAGGCAGATACATTCCGCGGTCACCATGCCGTTTCTAGCCGAACTGGCTCCTTACCGACAACGAACGATAAGTAATTTACATTAATTACTTCTTTTCTTTAAAAAAAAGAAGAAGCAAAAACGCTTATATTCAACTCGAACTGATTACGTTATTTACTTAAAATAACATCAGATAGTTGCTTCTGCCTAATGAGTTGAACTGAAGAAGTGCAAAGGATTATAAAGAAAAATTATCGGTAAGTTAAGATTAGTGAATGAGGAGAGAAGTACGTAGGGAAGATTGCTGTCGCCTCTGTTCGAAAATGTATTTTACTTAACCACACTTTTTTCTAGGACAGTGGCAGCTGATAATTCTGAAAGAGGAATGAAACTAATTTTTCTTATCAGTGCGCAGTCGGTAATATATTGTACAATATAGGCCAAAAATTGCAGGTCATCCTTTGAATTATAATGAATCACCTAAAAATTGAAGCTTGCGAGCCTTTTTCAAAACTAATGCATTAGGTCACTTCAAGAGAGAGTGAGAGAGAGAGAGAGGAGAAGAGAGACAGGGGAAGAGAGAGATAGGGAAAGAGATAAAGGGGGAAGAGAGAGGGGTACGAGAGAGAGGGCGGAAGGGAGAGAGAGAGGGAAGAGATATAGGAGAAGAGAGAGAGGGAAGAGGTAGAGGGGAAAAGAGAGTGAGGGGAAGAGAGAGGGGAAGAGAGAGGGGAAAGAGAGAGGGGAAGAGGGAAGAGGGGGGGAAGAGAGAGGGGAAAGAGATGAGGGGAAGAGAGAGAGGGGGACGGGAGAGAGAGGGGGGAAGGAGATGGGAAGAGAGGGGAAAGAGGGGGAAGAGAGAGGGGAAGAGATAGAGAGGGAAGAGATGAGGGGAAGACAGAGAGAGGGAAGAGATAGGGGGGAGAGAGAGGGAAGAGAGAGAGTGGGAAGAGATAGATGGGAAGAGAGAGGGGAAGAGATAGATGGGAAGAGAGAGGGGGAAGAGAGAGGGAAGAGAGAGGGGGAAGAGAGAGGAGACGAGACAGAGGGGGAAGGGAGGGGGAAGGGAGAGGGGGGGGAAAGAGAGAGGGGAAGAGAGGGAGGAAGAGATAGAGGGGAAGAGAGGGGGAAGAGATAGAGGGAGACGAGAGAGAGGGGAAAGAGATAGAGGGGGAAGGAGAGAGAGGGGGAAGAGATAACGGGGAAGAGAGAGGCGGACGAGAGAGAGAGAGAGGGGGGAAGAGAGAGACTTTCTCTTTCTGAAGGGTTTTTTTCATATATACTGAATAATAATAATAATAATAATAATAATAATAATAAAATTAATCCATTACTTCTTAAATCAGTATCACCCCATGCGTGGCAGTAAACCCACTAAAACACAAGAGGTTATTGGGTATGGAAGAATTAGAAAAACAAGCATTACTAATCAGCAGAAACAAAAAGAATAATCAGGACATTAGATAGCCACTGACATTGCATTTAAATATTTGCGGAGTAAAGCTGGCCGGAAAGCATAGAGTGCGAAAAAATAAGCCGATAGCCAGCTCCACTCTAAATTGATGAAGTCTCGATGCCAGTCTAATATTCCGCTGAAATTCAGAAAGTCTAGGTACCATAGCTCATCCGAATAATTACCATGAGAGGATTTTTAGAAATGATACTGGGAGTCAAATTACGGCTGTGGAAAAATGACTGTAGCCGAGCCGCCAGATTGGGAGCGATAATATTACTGTTTCTTCTTTGGATGTTTTCAAGGGGCCCAAAGTATATAGCAGGCGCACCGTACCATATTGTGACAGCAATATTCTATGTGTGGGCGAACGGTAGACTTATAGATATGTATGAAAGATTCTGAAGAGAAAAAAAATGTATTTCAACTTTCTTAGCAGCTGACCTAGAAAGGAATTCGAAAAGAGAGTTACTTTCTTGAAGGTTAGCATGCTGATGGAAAGCAGAATGTAGTCTTTCATATGATTGATAGAAAGAAGTTTAGTTTTGAAGGCGGTAAAATTAATACGCCATATTTAGTTCCATTTAACTGTCTAGAAATCGTTTTTGACATCGGCTACAATTTCCACTTTATAGAATTAATCAGACGTACTATCGAGACAAGAGTAAATGGTTGTGTCATTAGCGTATATACCAACTTGAGAGCTGGTATCCTGCATAAATATTCTGTAAAAGTTGACTTCTTTTTGCCCACTATACCATGCTGGCTAATGGTAAATTTAGGATTGGCGGATTTAAAATTTTAGATAGACCCTTCTCTAATATTTGAATGTTATTCTTTAATGGGTTAAAGAGTTTCGGCATTCTTGCTAAGTTAACTGAACCAAAGAAGGCATGAAACCTATTATTAAATGCAGAGGATGGCAGCAAAATATTGTCCTATATTGTGCAGACCATTGTTACAGGAAACTGAAAGAGCACTAGAAACAATGTAGAAATCTGAGAGTACTTAGTTTTCAGTGATAACTATCAGACATGTTGGGTTATGTGATTGCATGAAAAACAACAATAATGGAATATAAACTATAATATGCTTGAAAGAATGACATATGTGGGAAGTCTCTGGTATTTTTAGATTAAACCAAATCACGAAAGCCGATCTATGAGTAGGCTGAAATTTATAAAATCTTTGTTTTAAAACTATTCTCAGGAAAATAAGGTTCTCATGTCCAGTAGATATTTCGCTCTTTCCAGTATTAATGGCGGCTTCTTTCATAAACTTCTGTTTGAATTAGTGTGAAAAGTCACCATCTTGATTATATCATTATTTTCTCTGAGTTACATAATTACTATTGTTCAAAGTCCCCAACTGATATAGTTTCTGTCATTTGCTTCAGGTCTTTGCGATTTGGATGATCTTCACCAAAATCTACATGCTTGACTCGCTTGAAGCCATTATTAAGTATTGATCTTAGAAAGCGGTTATTTACAGCTGACATTCGGTATTTCTGAAAGTGTTTGATAGCCTGCATGACATCCATATGAAAGTTTCAATCTGACGAGGTTTTTTAAGAACCTGACACGTAGTTTCAGGTTAAAGTTTTGAAGCAAAAGAGAAAATACAGGGTCGAAATAGGTGACAGAACTACCATAATTCTTCTGCAAGAAACCAAAGCGATCAAGCGAATTGATAGCACCAAGAACAACGGCATAAAAATACAAAGGAAAAGAAATCATCAATATAATGTGTGACGAAAAAGAAATAGTGTGAGACAAGGGTGTATCTTCTCACCGGGCATGCTTAACCTTTACAGAATATTGATTCTGAGAGAATTAGAATTAATACCAAGATTCATTGTTGGCGGCCATAATTTTAACTACATTAGATATGCAGATCACACAGTGTTAATAGCAAACGGAGGAAGGAAAACACACCAATTTCTACCATAATTCCTAAAGTATTAAAGGAAGGTTAGGAAAAAGAAATAAGCATCAATTGTAAAAAGACAGAAAATATGGTTGTCAGCAAAATGAAGCTCTCAACATGCGAATTACAAATTGGGGATAACAAAATCAAGCAAGTAAAACAAATTAAATACGTAATCACTGTTTCAACAGAAGACAGAAAATGCGATCCCGAGATGAGAAGCCGTATTTGAATAGAGTATATTGACTCATAAAAGCTAAGCAAAGTATTAAGAAACTAGAAAAAATTCGTTAGAAAGAAAGAAAATATTACCGAAATGTTATATAATATCAGCTCTCCTATTTGAACAATCTAATCATAGATGAAGAGGAAACTTGAAACAACAAAAATGTGATTCTACAGAAGGATGCTGAGAATACCATCGACCGAACATTCGAACAATGATAAAATATTAGAAAATATGGAAACAAAAACTACACTTATGCTTAATATTAGAAAAGCGAAAATTGAGATTTCTAGGGAAATTTGACTCTGACAGGAAATAGTGAAGGCAAGTGGGACAGAAGAAGGCAGATCGGGGGGTTAGGAGCTATAGCGAAAAGTCGACATTTACTAAGAGCTAAAAGGGACAGGAAATTGCGGAGAGTCATGATCGTCCACGTCCTGAAGGGACACGGCACAGAGAAAAATGAGAAAATACAACAGAAGTGTGTTACACGACTTGGGAGTACGTATTGATTGACCATCGTTCAGTCTATATCAACATTAATATTTCACAGTCCTCCCCCCACGAGCGACATATGTGGCACAAGGCCGAGTATAACGTGGGTCATCCGAGTGCGTAGGCTAGGCCAAAAAATTTCCATAGAACCCGCATAAACGGGTTCGGGTCTGTCTACATCCCCGGGCGAAACTGATCATCGGCACAGCCTCGTCTGGGTCCCTCTCTGCCCAATGTAGAAAGTTCGACAGGAGCTGCGAACAGTCACAGCCTCGGAAGAACAGTCTATATCACCGTTATATATAAATGGCACCCCCCACCACGTGGTTGGTATGTGGCACAAGGCCGGTTTAGCCTGGGTTCTCAAAGCCCATAGGCTCGGCCAAAAATATTCCCTTCGAACCCGTATAAACGGGTTCAGGGCCTGTCTACCTCCCCGGACGAAACTTTGCCCTTCGGCAAAGCTTCGCCCGGCTTCCTCTCCGCCGAAGCGGAGAGTTTGATAGTTGATCAGTTTATATCACCTTTCCCCCGAGGCTTACTTTTCCTACTAACTTTATAGCAAGTGGAAGAGTCTACAATAGCTTCATTCGAGCGAGGATGCCACAAATCTTTACGGTATTGTTCAGCCAATTGAGTGGAAAGCAAAAAGAGAGCTTCAGAAGGTAGAAATGCGACAGAATAAACAACTAGAACAAAACTTACGTTTACAACGAGGAATTTCAACATGAAGCTATGTGAGCTAGCTGGCAATCTAGTATGGCGCTAAAATTCGAGTGGTCGAGTTACCATCATAGAAAGGTTATGAGAAAAAATAGCATGAAAATAAAGAAGACACAACGAGAAACTACGCTCTGGTGGTGGGAAATTGACTGAAAACGAGATGCCTGGTCCCCACCGATATCGCTGACGTACAGAATGGAATTATAAGTCATTATCTTAAAAGCCGCACTCGGTGCGAACTTTTAAGCGAGTTCCCGTGGGGAGGTGGCGGTGGGTGTGGGGCTGTAACCGAGCCTCTGGTCCCCCAAACTAAAGAGAACTAAGGTCCAACTTAGAAAACATCAATGATAAAATTCACTTCATGTAACTTCAAAACCACCCTTTAACTCTGATTCGGGCTATGAATCCATTTCCGGCAAAAAGACCGATTTGGGCCGAAAGGTCGATCTGAACCGAAATTTCGATTTGGACAGAAGTTCGAATTCAGGCCGAAAATTGAAATCTTCAAAACACAAACACCGCGGAACTAGAATTGAGTTTAATTCTTCAAATCACAAACACCGCGGAACTTGAATCGAGTTGAGTTCTTCAAATCACAACCACCGCGGAACGTAAATTGAATTTTTCAAATCACAGCCACCGCGGAACTTCAATCGAATCGAGTTCTTCAAATCACAGCCACCGCGGAACTTGAATTGAGTTCTTCAAATCACAAACACGCCGGAAGTTGAATTGAGTTGAGTTCTTCAAATCACAAACACTGTGGAACTTGAATTGAGTTCTTCAAATCACAACACGGCGGATTTTGAATTGAGTTGAGTTTTTCAAATCAAAAACACAGCGGAAATTGAATTGAATTTTTCAAATCACAACGACCGTGGAACTTGCATTGAGCCCTTCAAATCACAAACACCGCGGAACTTGAATTGAATTTTTTAAATCACAACACCGCCGAACTTGAATTGAGTTATTCTAATCACAACACCGCGGAACTTGAATTGAATTTTTCAAATCACAACACCGCCGAACTTGAATTGAATTTTTCAAATCACAAACTTCGCGGAACTTAAATTTATTCTTTCAAATCACAAACACCGCAGAACTTGAATTGAATTTTTCAAATCACAAACTTCGCGGAACTTAAATTTATTCTTTCAAATCACAAACGCCGCAGAACTTGAATTGAATTTTCAAATCACAACACCGCGGATGTTGAATCGAGTTGAGTTCTTCAATTCACAAACACCGCGGAACTTGAATCGAGTTTTTTCAAATCAGAAAATAGGTGGAACTTCAAACCATCACGTCATGAAACCTCTCTCTTTAACTCTGATTCCTTGGAATTTTGAAGAAATAAAATTTTCCTCAATTCACAAAGATTTGGAGATATTTTAAACTGAATTTAAAACAAAAATAAATGTTAATCTCACAAAGTG